AAGGACGAACACCAGTGGCAAACCCCGTGGTAAACCCAGCCCCTGCGGCACGTCAACGGGAACCCGGAGAAATCATCAAACCACCACTGCCAGACAAATTCAAAGGAGATCCCAAGCAAATTCAGAAATTTTTCACGGACATAAGAAACTACTTCAGTTACTTTCCGACCACCATGGCTAACGATGTTATAAAGATTCGAACTGCAGGAACCTGTTTGTCCAAAACCGCTAAAGACTGGTTTAAACCACACCTCAGGGATTTTAAATAAACCAAGACACCTAAGAAACAATACACAATCGACTTATTCGACAATTACGCCACGTTTGAAAAACAACTTGAGAAACTGTGTAGAAAAACTAATGAGTCTAAAGAAGCCGAAGATGCGCTCCTTCAAATCAAGCAAAAAGGACCCTGTGTAAAGTACACTGCCGCTTTCATACGCCTAGCTGCCAGGACCAACTTAAATAACAAAGCACAACGCATACTCTACTACCAAGGACTCAACTCAGACGTCAAGGATGAACTCTCCAGAGATAAAAAACCTAATACCCTTAACAAACTCGCGGAAAAAGCCACTCGTATTAATGAACGACAATTTCAGCGACGCCAGGAACGCAAGAGAGAGGGAAATCCCCAGAAGACAGTCCCAAAGCATCTTTACTCCGGTAACAACACCAACCAGGGAAAGAAAAGGGACCTTGCGACATACAACGATGGAAAGCCAGGACCTATGGACCTCAGCACCATCGAGGCACAACGTAAGAACGTTAAATGCTACAATTGTAGAAAGAAAGGACACGTAAAGAAATATTGTCGAGCCCCTAAGAAAGATGGCAACAAGAAATTCACGCCTGTCCCAGAGCCTAAGGAGAACCGAACTATCAATACCATGAGACCTTCGGTAGACCATGACATCCTACACTTCTCAGCGTGCTACGATAATAACTATCAGACCCATCGCAGCAATAAACAAGGATCGGGATAGTACCCCAAAGGGCGTACACAAACCTTGAACACGCTTAAAGAAGACACCCAGGAGGACCTCAGCTACGTCAAACAACTTGTTCAACAAAGCCTCGACGAGCAAGAACAAAACGACAAATTCGAGGATAAGGAAGAGGTACTCCGAGAATAGAAACAAAACGAAGACATACGCCAGTACAACGAGGATCTTCCAGACACAGCACCTCCGACACAATATAACCCTTGTAAAGGAATAACTCAGGAAGAAATCAACGACCTCGAGAAGCATATGTGCGACCAGTGCGGATCGGTCGAACCCAAGGGACCATATCACCCTTGTAAGATAACCACAGCCGACTGGGAACAACACAAAGATCAATACGGAATCCAAGGTATCATCGAAGAAAACCAACGCTACGACGAAATCGTACAACAAAAAGAACTTGAAGACTAACAGAGACTCCTCGAACGATGGGGACAGATCAAACAGATTGATCTAAGTACCGCCTACGACCGGATCCAATTACACAGAAATCGGTTTCAACAATACATCAAGACCAACGCAGACGAATACCCAATAGCCAAGACACTAAAATCGACCCTATACTACGTCGACGACATCCTACTCACAGACCAATGTAACAAAGCCAACATTATCAACTGCAAGCTACTACTGTGCAAACAACATGCCATGATCAAACTTCAGGAATAGCATGAGGACCACGGGGCTGCAGAATGTGGACAAAAAGAATTTACGCTCTGCAACAAAGATCGTTGCAAAAAACATCAGTACCAACGCCGAGCCCTCGCATACATCACCTACAACCTAGAACGACAAGGATTCAACCTAGCAAGACATAGCAATAATAACGAATTACGAGGAATCAACTGGAACAACCTTTAGAAATACTATAAGCTTACCGCCAGATATATACCCAAACCCGGATGCACCTGGTGTAAACGCTATAACATTCAAAACAAAGAACCAGGATGGATTACCTCAGACCTAGACGACATCAATATTAACCCTTACGGCAATAATTATTACGACGGCGCCGACAATGCAACCTACCATAACCTGAACACTATAACAGGAGGAAAGAAACTACGGAAATTCCTAGTAGACGGATGGTTAAACGATGAACCAATTACAGTCTACATAGATTCCGGAGCCACGACAAGCTACATTACGCCTCAACTAGTTAACCACCTACAGTTAAACCATCGTAAGAAGGAGAAACCATACACCCTTGCAAGCATTAAGAAACAACAATTCACATACAACAACGGAACTGTCAACCGCAAGACCGATCACCTCACAATCCAGTTCAGTGAAATTAAGGATACGTTTAAATTCGACATTGCAAATATCGCAGGATATAATGTACTCTTAGGATACGATTGGCTTAAATCGCGCAACCCCGACATCAACTAGATCAGAGGCCAGGCGAGATGGCGAACTCGCCCTAAACCAATTGATTTCAGAGACACACTGTAACTAGATCAGGAGGATCGACAGGATACCATAACATCCCCAACGACAGGATCAGTAACCCCTACATCAAACCAAGAAACAAAAAAACACACGGAAAAACAAAAAATCACAAAGCAAGTACGATTAAAAAAGCTAAAGAAGCTCCCGAGGACAGTTAAATACGTTAAAAAACCAAAAAAGAAACAGCTTAGATTTCTTAACTTAATTATACAAAAGGTCAAGGAATTATACCACCGAGACCAACAGACACCAGAACGTTTAAAGAATATACCAACAGACCTCCAGCATATACCAGTCTTTAATAAAGAACTTAACACTGGACTACCAGAACACAGCCAATAGGATCATAAGATTAAGCTCATAGACGACAAAGTCCCAACGTTCAACAAAATCTACAACCTAAGTACCACCGAACTCAAGACACTCGACGAATAGATTAGAGACCAGCTAAAGAAAAGCTACATTAGACCTTCTAAATCCTCAGCAGGATATCCAGTTATATTCATGCCCAAAAAGAACAGTAAACTTCGACTTATTATAGACTACCGACAATTGAACGCGATAACCAAGAAAGATGTCACGCCACTACCACTGATTCCGGAAATCAGAGACCGGCTTACAGGAGCCAAGATCTTCACTTCGCTAGATCTCAAAGGAGCATACAACCTCATCCGAATCAAGAAAGGCAACGAATAGAAAACCGCCTTCCGCACAAGATACGGACTTTACGAATATCAGGTAATACCTTTCGGACTCACAAACGCCCCAGCATCTTTCCAGAAAATAATCAACTACGTACTACGAAACTACGTAGATCATTTTGTCATTATATACCTTAACGACATCCTCATCTACTCCAAGAACTTAGAAGAACACAAGGAGCACGTCAAGAAGGTACTACAAACACTCTAAGACAACAAACTCCTAGTGGAACCCGAGAAATACAACTTCTACACACAGAAAGTCACATTCCTAGGACATATCATCACCCTAGGCAAAGTCTAAATAGACCCTAAGAAACTCAAGGCAATTAATGATTAAAAACCGCCACAGAACGTCAAGCAAGTACAAAGCTTCTTAGGACTTGCCAATTACTACCGACGCTTCATCAAGGACTTCTCAAAAATTGCCACGCCACTCACGAACTTAATAAAGAAAGACGTCAAATTTAAACTCACATAAGACGCTCTAACAGCCTTCAAACGCCTCAAACGAGCCCTCACCAGTGCACCAGTACTCATAATGTTTGACCCAAACAAACCCATCACAATCGAAACCGACGCCTCAGACTATGCAATCGGAGGAGTACTCAGCCAACCAGACGAAAAAGAGAAACTCAGGCCTATCGCCTACTTCTCTAAGAAACTACACAGACCAGAACTCAGATATCCCATCTACGACAAAGAATTCATAGCCATATACCAAGCGCTCAGCAAGCAGCATTAGAGACACTATTGTAAAGGAAGTCGATTTCCAGTAATAATCCTTACGGATCACCGGAACATCACTTACTTTATAATAACATAAGAACTATCCCACAGACAAGTCAAGTACTATAAGCGACTCTCCGAGTTCAAGCTCATTATTAAACACTGCAGCGGATCAGACAACGAACGCGCTAATACACTCAGCAGGCGCCCAGACCACTTCTAAGAAATCCCGGAAGTTAAGGCACAAATACTAGAGAAAAACCAGTATAGAGACCTAGTCATCCAATCAATCGACACCTTATACTAAATCGAGATAAACAACCCAATTATCGACAATATAAAGGAACACGTCAAAAACTAGGAAAATAAATAATACCCAGAAGGTGTTTCTATAGACACTAGATACCTAACACTAGATGGACTTATCTAGGTACTAGAAGACTTATGAAGCAAAGTGGTGAAATCAGTCTACGTACATAAACTTAACGGACACCGTGGAATCAGAAAAACCACACAATAAATCGCACAATACTTCAAATTTAAAGGTATCAAGAAATAGATACAGAAGGTTATATTAGAATATATAACATACAGACGAGCCAAAAGCTCCAAGCACAAACCCTACGGACAGCTACAACCACTACCTATACCACAGCAACCATAGAAATCAATCTCATTTAACCTAATCACCAAACTACCTTCTTCAAAAGAACCAATCACAAAGGTACTCTACGACAGCATCTTTGTAATAGTCAACAGACTCACGAAAATAGCCTACTTCATACTATTTAAGGAAGCCAGCAATACAGAAGAATTAGCTTATATAATAATAAAATACATCACAAGCAACCATAGACTACCGGGGGACATAATCTCCGACAGAGGAAACACATTCGTATCCAAATTCTAAAAAGCACTCACAGCCAAATTAGGAACGAATCACAAGGCCAGCACAGCCTACCACCCACAGACAGACGGACAGACGGAAAGGATCAACCAAATAATTAAGACCTATCTACGCTGTTACATCAATTTCAAACAAAACGACTAGGTAGAACTCCTCCCCGTCGCACAACTCGCTTACAACAGCACAGAATCAGAATCAACTAGGAAATCACCGTTCTTCCTAAACTATAGATTCAAACCCAAAGCCTACCAACCGCCAAGGCAAGGGGAAGATGTCGAAAAAGCCATAATCAAGGCAGAAGACATAATTGAATTACACGACGAACTGCAACGACAACTTGAATTCGTCCGACAAAGGATAATCAAATACGCAGACAAAAACAGGATTAGAGGACCAACCCTTCAGGAAGGGGACATAGTCTGGCTCCACCAACACACACGAGGAAACAAGCAAGCAAACATCAAAACAAACAGGCCAAGCGACAAACTTGATTTTAAGAAACTTAGACCTTATAAAATTTTAAGAAAAATCGGAGAAGTAAACTATAAACTCGAACTTCCAGAACGACAGGAAAAACGAGGAAAACATATGCATCTAATATTTCACATCTCCCTGCTAGAAAAAGCACAAATCGACGAAGAAACTGGAAGATTCATCCAGGACGAAATCATCGTCAAAGGAGAAGAAGAAGAATATAAGGTAAAAGACATCAATGCAATAAAAACAGGAGAAGACAGCAAACAACGCTATAGGGTACAATAGGAAAAAAGGGAAGAAAAAGAAAAAACATAGGAACCTATTAAGCATCTTAAGAACTCAATGGCGCTAGTGGAAAAACTCCATCAAAGCCTAGGGATCATGCCAGCTCAGGATCCATCGACAACATCCCCAAATAATCCACTAATTCCAAAGAAGCGGGGACGACCTCGGAAGAACCCTCTGCCGACTGCGTTGTAGCAGCCTGAAGAGCGGCCTCCGCCTCACGCTCCTTCTGCTCCAACTGCTCCAGCTCCGCCAAATTGTCAATACCCCGGGACACCGCACGCGCCGCCTTTTCAGACCATTCCTTACGTTATTTCCGAAAACGAACAACTTTAGCCATAAAATTCGCGATTTCCTCTTCGACGGCTTCGACCTCACTGTCGAGCTGGTCGCGCCGACGGGAAATACATAATAATTATTAAGGTGTAAGAAACGCCTCACAATAAGATTTGTGATCCTCGACACACTTCAAACAGCAACTTAAGTCAACCTCGGAAGCTAAACACTAGAATCCCTTCTTTTCGCAATAGAAGCAGGGTTTTATCTCGACGGATCGCAATAATATAGAAGCAGCAAGTGCCACACTCCTGTTAAATTTCTTCTTCTTTCCTTTTATATTAGCCAAGTCAGCAGATTTTTAAACGTAGAAAGTCATTTTGGCGACGAACAGGTAACAGAACAAGAAGAACACCTACAAGTAGGAGGTGTGGATACTTATATACTAGATCACCTGGTCTTAGGGACAAGACCAACAGAAGGGGGAGAATCATGTCACAACCCAGCTCTTATAGTCGCAACAAGGGGCCTACAGGGTAGGCACTCCCGGATTAACGTCGGGCCGCGCAGCCAATCAGGAAGCGGTCGACGGGAATCAACGTCGATTCCAATCGACGCAGGAACGAATCGATCAAGATCATAAGCNATTCCACTCAACTCCAGAATACACGACTGGATATATAAGTTCACTTCATATCACTCATTAGAATACTTAAATAGCCAGTTGTTATCACAGCGTTTACAATACAATCAGATTAGAACACAGACATCTATTCTCATTC